ATAAAATGGAAGAGTAAGGGAAACAGCTTGCACCTAGATCTCTTAAACATTATAGGCCAAAGAAGAAGCACACAAGTATACTGAGTCAGATAAGAAACCGAGGTTGTGCGGTCTTGGTAAATCACGTGTTAACTTCTCACTTTAAAAATGTTTTGCAAAAAGAGTATGGCGAGTGGGGTAGGGTTTGCAAAGTTGTCAAGATCCGGCATAGTTGTTTTTTGATGTGTGTGGTGTTTTGAGTTTTCATTAGATTAGAAACGTCATGATTCATAGAGGCACAAGTGTCTTGATTACAGTTAAAATCAGGCATAGTTTTGGGGTTGTTTTTTTGTTTTCTTTTTAAAAGGGGGCAGAGGAGAGGAAAACACATAAATCAGCCCGTTACATAAGTAGATGTAAATAAACTCAATAAATAGTTGAGTGTATGTTTTTCTGTCTACCATCGGCAGACAACAGCAAGTCAGATGGCTGAACACTGAGAATGAACCCAGGAATTAGGACAAGAAGGATTATATCCCTTAGATTTGAGACTGTGGCTCCATATCATGAAGACAGAAAAGCGAGAGGAGAATTTGTTTAGTCATTGACGATCTGTAACTGAGGGTCTCCTCTTTTTCCTTTCAAAAGGCTGCAGAGGCCCCAAACTCGCTTTCCCAGGGTCCGCTCCAGCAGAGACCCCGCCTCCCGAGCCCGTTCTCTGGCGAGTCTGAGCTCTGAGCCCCTCGCCGCCTCCAACTCCCAGCATGCCGCTGGTCGGGGCGGGCGGCAGTGGTGTAGGCACGTAGACTCCATTTCCCAGCCTGTCCCGGGGCTCGGCCAGGACGTGCCGGCGCCTATAAGAGTCAGAGCGCTGCGGCCAGAGCCTATTGTTAGCCGGAGCCGGGGCGGTTCTGGGCAGCTACTGCAGGGGTGTCCTAGTTGCTGGAGCCGCCCGTCCCCCGCCGCCTGCCGGCCGGCCTGCCTACCTACCCTCCTCCCCGCCCTGCCGCCCTAGGAGCTCCCCGACTGTCGCCGCGGGGCCCGGGACTCATTCTTCTTCCTTCTCACCCGGGCTAGGGCGGCGGCGGCAGCGGGGGCGGCAGAGACCATCACGGGAGAAGGCAGCTGCGGCGGGGCCGGTAATGGGCCTGGGGGTGCGGGGCGGAGGGTGCCGCCTCGTCCTTTCTCGGGATCGGCCTTCGGGCGGCTGTGGAGGAGTGGTCAAGCCCCGAACCGTGCGGATGGAGGGGTCAGAAAAGAGGGAGGCTCGGACGG